AGTAAATCGATCGATCGCTGACTGTCTTGTTTTCTTCGTGATGAATAAGTCTCTAAACCAGCGGGGTTGTGGAAACACAGACCCAACATTTATTTTTTATCAAATGTGGAAAAAAATACCTGAAACATTTTTTAAAACCAACCACAGGTCATAAGTAACACGGCTGCATATGAAGAGGTAAAGAATGGAAAGTGTTCACTACTTTCTGGAATATTGAATTAGATATTCAAATTGTTAAGCAACATTAAAACTGCAAGTAATTCACTGACTGTGGTACCTAATCTAATTCAAGTTTTAGAAATTCAACAGAAATGCGTGGTTATAAGGGACAAAACCAATGTTGAATAGCCATGATCTCCAGGCCTTCAGGCAGCACTGCATTTACAATAAAGGGGGAAAAAGAAAAGATATGGTTGGTGAAATCACTCTGTGCGCTCAGAAACTCTTTTCAGGAATCCTGCTAACTATTTTCAGTGAACGACATTCACGGATTCAAGGTAATAACTCTACAAAGAAACAATGACAAGGATTTATCGGACCCAGCTCATTTAAGATTGTGGGAGTTAAAGATGTCCTGCTGTCCGCAAATCAACATTGGACATTTTTGGATCACAGCAGCGGTGGCCACCAGACTTTTACTGCCATAAAAGCAGCTAAAAAAATAAAATAAAATAACGCACATTTTTTTCCAAAGTGTACATTGTTTCGTAGATGTTAAAAGTAGATTTGACACATTCTTTAATTCTTGTACACTCATGTTGTACAAGGAAGAATAGTAGATAATTCAGTTCTTTTGTACAGTTATTTTTCTCCAAGTTATAAGCCTACATTTCTATAATTTCCCTTTATGAATCCTTAGTAGAAACCTGATTGCAGACACATAACAGTCATTGGATCCCATTATACATTTCCCCCCCTAACCGACTGTGACTGAGAGCATGCTGAATAATGTAACATCATTTATTCAATGCTCTGGGAATACTAAACCTGTAATGATGATCACCCAATAAAAGAAAACATAACCAGCCTGAGAGTTTCAACTATGTGAGACATATTGTACAAGGACAAATAGTATGAACAAAGTGTTTGTACAAGAATAAAGGAATGTGTCTTCTTTGAAGGAAGGTAAAGAATAAAAGCAATGTCTGCAAAAAACAAAAGGCAAAGGAAGGCAGCTAGTCTGGATTGACACACACACACACACACACACACACACACACACACACACACACACACTAAAACAGGAATAAAGGGTAAGACAAATCCTGACAGTAACTTCCGACAAGCGCCTTTGCAGGAAACTCGAGGGTATTCAAAGAGGATTTAGTGAATGACCCACTAAACTCGGAAATCCTGCACTGGAGGAAGAAAGCCCACCCAGTACTTCAAATGCATACATGCATACATTTGCATATTTCTAAAACTACAAGAGCATACCAATGCAGTTTGTGACAGCAATTTTTATATACTCTTGAGTCTCTGCAGAGAAATCTTATTTAACATAGAAAGTACAACTACATTATGTTTCAGTCCATAGTTTCTATCAGACATTATTTCAGACAATCTTGAATTGGGCTAGAGGAGGACGTCCTTGCTCGAGTCTTCAGTAACTCTTTCTTAAGAGGTAAAAAAAATAAAAATAAAAATAAAAAATCTAAATTGAGTGAAGGGTGAAGCATGAAAAGTCAAGGCTTTCTTTTACATGCAGCTGAAAAGCTTTTTTTATTGTGGAGTTTATCTTCCACGGCCCTGCAACACTTTATTGTGTCCTGAGAGAATGCCAAAGCTCTGAGCTGTATTTTTTCTGCCTCTTTGTTGGTTTAAGAAAGTGAAAGACACTGTGTGTCAAGGAGTGTGATGCTCGTGTGTCAAGGAGTGTGATGCTCGTGTCTTTTGTGTTTGAAATCATGTACAACCCCAACTCCTGTGTAAAGTAAATAAAAACAGAAAACAATCACTTGCAAAACTCATGAACCCATATTTTACTCCCAATAGAGCACAGAAAACATGTTTATGAAAAGATGGGCAGAGGTTCACCAGTCTGCAAGTCTGTAAAAACACAGTGTCTACAAATAGAAGAACAATTTCAGAATAACGATGCTCTACTTAAATTTGTGATGACTTTGAATATCTTATTATCTGCAGTACGTAACACCTTCAAAAGAAATATCTGCGTGCAAACTAGAGATGGACCGATCCGATATTAAGTATCGGTATCGGTCCGATACTGACCTAAATTACTGGATCGGATATCGGAGAAAAATAAAAAATGTAATCCGAT